GTCTGGGTGGCGGGGTATGGGCATTCCAGCAGGAACGAGATCCTGCAGTTGCTGCCACCACCAACGCTGCAGGCGAAGGAGACCCAGGTGGGTGTCGCGGCCAGATCAGTGCCGGACCCCTCCGTCCCCGCTGGCGTCATGCGGTCAGTGCTGCCCTTGAGCTGGGCCTGCCTGTGCTGGGCTGGGGAACTGGCAAGCTTCGCAAGCCATCGCTCAGTCTCTGCCGCTTTGACAGCCACTCAGTCGAGTCTTGAGCAGCTTTGGTCTGTAGCTAAAGCGTGTGCATCGCCTGGCTGCTGGCCACCTGAGGCAGCGCAGGCTGCCGGTGCAGCCATGCGCTCCTGTTGCTGCTCGGCAGGCAGGTAGTGCCGTAACAGCTTCTTCTCGCAGAGCGTGGATGAAAGCCCTTGGTTGGGAAACATGAAGGGTGAGGAGACTGAGGAGGAAGGGACTTGTCTGAGATGCCTTGTCTCGGAGGACCATGCTGCTTTCTTAGCTGGTGTCTGCCAGGGTGGCACTTGTGGCTTGGCACAGTCCAGAGAAACCTCATTTGTGAATGCTTCTTCACTGCCTGGGACACTTGATGTAGCGTTAGCATCTTGTTGCGCCTGTGCCAGGCAATATGACCTGTGCTTTGTGCTGTATTTTTCATGGTGCTTTTGCACTGCAGTCTTCTCTGCTCCTCCAAGTGAAATGGGAATACTGAGGTTGGCTCTCAGGTGGGTGACTTCTAAGGTAAAGCAGAACATGGTATTCAGTAAGCAGAAAGCTTTCCTCCTGAGCCAGATATGCGCATGTTGCCAGAAACGCTGTCAGAAGTTGGAACTTGTAGCAGTAGTCATACAGAGATGTCTGAGATGCTCTAACCTCTCCTAAATAGGGCCTTAAGGCTAATGGACCTATGCTTCTTAGCAGTCCCTCATTACATGCAGCTGAGGGGTGTTTTACTGCCCAAGTCACTGGGCCTTGTGTGACTTATTTCGCTCGTGTTCAAACTCTCTAAACGGTGTCATCAGCCCTGGGGCCCCTTACGTTGTCCTGGAACACAGGAGTCCTCACCTTCTGTGCTAAACTGCACAGTACTGCTCTGTCTCTCTTCCAGAGCTCTTGGCAGTGACTTTCTCCACATTTTTTTTTTTTTTATTTCTAATTGTTTTTTAACTATTTTGAGATCCTTCAATCGTACTGTTTAAAAAAGCATTAATGGACAAGCAAGAGCTTTACCATGAGAGATTTTGTGTTATGTCTTTGCCTTTTGGGGGGTAAGTGACCATACCAAGCTTTGCATTGTTAGAAGTGAAGAAATAACTTTGTCTGCCTCTGATTTCTAGGGTCTGTGTCCAGAAAGAGATTTCAAGGTGGAATGTGGTGGATTTTCAAACCGCCCAGTGTACAGCCTGAAACACGTGCCAGACACCAGGTATAACTGCACAGTCTTTCCAAGCAGTGCTGGCAAGGGAGATGGGGCTTGTTCGTTGGGAACTCCTTCCCCTTGCCTGCCTCCCCGTGCAACTGATAAATCCTGCTGGTTTTGAGCGCAGTGTGAGCAGGGGAGGGGAGGTGCTGGCCAGAGACATGTAGTGGTCCTCCTAGTGTCCTGTCTGTGCATTTGGAGTGGAGCAGTCTACCAGGGTGCTCAGCAAAACGCAGTGCGCCCTGCAGCTGCAGTACTTAAGGCTGCTGGTGTGCCTGTCGTGTGAGACAGCTGGCTGCGTTGCTTGGTTCCAGCGATGCTGTTATGAACTAGCAAGACAAAAGGCAATTAGAGAGAAGAGCCTGGTGACTTCTGGCAGGAATATGGAAAATTATTTGCATCTCCTGATTCCTGCGTGCCTTTAGGGCATTCCGTGTCGCAGTGCAATTGAAGCTGTTGGCATGGGCCACTGGACAGCTTGAATCCTCAGCTTTGAGAAGTGAGCCAGCAGGGGTTGCTGAAATTGGTGTCAATGGTTCACCTGGGATTCCTCCCTACTTCACTTCTGAGCAAGGATATCACTTCCTTGCACTGCCTTTTCTTTCCCTTCCCTTCTCCATTTGGAGCTCCATGGAGCAGAGCACCTTCCGGTGGCTCCCGCAAGGCTTTCCTGCTCAGCTGGTAGAGCAGGATGCTAGCGGCTGCTGTAGCTGCTCTATAAGTTCCTGTGTATGCAGGTTCAGAAGATTTTCCCACAATTATTTGAAGGTCACACAAACACTCTCTCCTCTGGCTGGTTCACTTCAGTTGTCCTGCTCTTTCCTTGTATACAAGACTGTGTTGCACTTCTCCCTGTGAAGCTGTTTGTACCATTCTTAATCTAGTGCTTTTGTCAGATGTGCTAATAAAATGTGCTGCTGCCTGGGACTGCGCGTAGCTGGGCTGTGCAGAGCTGTGCCCTTGTATGAGGAGTTCTGGGGTAACTGTCCCTATGGCTTCATCTCTGCTCTAAGTACAGACAGGAGCTCCTGAGCAGAGGAGGAGTGGCAGAACACAGCTGTGCCCATCGCAGCTGGTTTGTCCCAGGCCTGGGGCAGAAGGCTGTTCTCTGTTCCTGAAGAACTCGTGTCATTTTTTTTGTCCCGAAGAACTCGTATCGTTTTTTTTCTTTCTGCAGCTTGTTGGTGACGAGTGGCCCACCAGACAGCTCCCTCCAGGTCTGGCAAGTGTCAGCAGAGGACTCTGGTAAGGGAGAACATTTCTGCAGTGAGAAACTACTCAAAACCAGTCTTTGTGTTGGTAGTGTCACTAGCTACTCTCCCTGTTGGTGTCTCTGCTTCCTGGGTATAAAATGAGGAGAGGAATCCCACCCCTGTTTAGTGAAATCCTGGGAATGCCTTGCTCTGCTTTGGGTGACTGCTCTTGCATGGGAATGGCTGGAGAAAGGCATGAAGACAAGCATCTTCACTGATTCTCTTCGAGCCTTGAAAGACATGGACTCCGCATCTAAGTCTATGTCTGCTCCTAAGGGGATTAGTTGGTTTAGGCCTGGCTCAGTAGCTTTCCGCTCTTTGCTCTTATTTGCGAGCTCTTACTCATACAAACAAAAATCCTAATCATATAATTGGAACAATATTACCTTAATAACTCTAAGGGTTAGAAATAGTTTTGTACTTCAGCTTTTGGGAGGTACCATGAATCACCTCATTTCTCCAAGCCTCTTGTTTATTGCTTCTGGAAAAGGCTTAATGTTGCTCTGTCTACTCTTGTGAAACGTTTTGAAACCATCAAAAAGGAAGTGCAAAATGTTATTAGGAGTTTGTTTTATCCTTTTTAATCGAAAGTAAACTTCCTGCTTCATAACTTTCCATGGAATTTACTAGATTTTAAATGACTTGCTATCTATCCTTGCTTGATATGTTGGAAAGAGCGGCTTTTGTCTGGGAAGGAGGTTAGTCATAATTTGATTTTGTACTGGTTTAGTGGGTCACTTTGGGCTTTGTGATTTTGCATCTTTGTGCAAGAATTGGATTACTTGCATCCTGACCTGTTTTACAGCTGCTTATATCTCTCTTCCAAACAGATGTTATTAAATCTGTAAGTGCCATTCCTACAGAAAATGGCACTGGACAACCTTGGGCTAAGATTGCAACAACTTCTGCCAGAGCCCCGTGGGTTCTTCATGGCTCGAGACTCAACAGCGTCCAAATTACAGAGGTTGAGTCAAAGAAAAATGTCTACGTGGCAGGTATTCAAACAAAGTCTAATCTTATCTGCGTTTGGAAAGCTTGGGTTTGGTGAAAGCAGGGGTGTAACTGCTCAAGTGGCAAATGCTTCACCCCATTATGGGATGCTTTCAGGCGTGTGCCGAAGGGCAGCGTAAAGATATTTGCAGAAAGTACAGGAAAGAGGTTACAACGCTCTGGTCCAGCTCCAGCTTCTCACTGCTGCCCTTGGCAGTGATTTTCCATGCTGCTGCCTCAGATCTGTGCTCCTCTGAGAGCTCCATAGACAGTTTCAGTCCAAAGAATCAGGTTAGCAGAGGGCCGCTGTGTATGTTGTTGTCGAGTGCTGATTGGTTTATACAGAATAGTGTGGATTAGGCAGTTCTCATGTAAGCAGCTGTGCCAGCCTGCTGAGGTGGGGAGGAGGAGGACGAGATCTCCAGGGAGGAAGGTGACAGGGCAGTAACCTCTCCCACTAACTCTGACTCTTTTGGGGGCTATTTGTCCACAGCACAAACCAGGTAGGTGCTGGTCCCAGAGTCACATCGCTGGGGGTCCTTGAAGTCCGCATCAGTTTGGGTAGCTCTGTGTTACCATGTGATCTGGCCATGCGGATGGAAGCAAGGGTCATGCCAGCCTCATCAAACCAGGCCTGCATTAACCTCGAGGTGGGAAACCCAGATCCGGCTTGTCTGGGTGCCAGGGTTAGCAGCAGTAGCTGCCACCCCACAACTCATGGAGAGTACCCCTATCTGGGTGCGTTCCTGAATGTGCCTGTCCTGCCAAAAACATTGGTTGGGGGTGGGGAGACTAAGCAAGTGCTGTTTGGGAACGCTAAACTATTTGGCTGTTACAAACTTTACTCCAAGTCTTCCTAGTGCCTGCAAGCAAAGGAGATGCCTTCTCAATCCAGCATATGGCTTTACCTGCTCAGTAAGACTCAGTCCCCACACTGTTCATTCCCTGGGGAGGAGAAGGGGGGCTGTGTGTGTGTGTGTGTGTGTGTGTGTGTGTGTGTGTGTGTGTGTGTCCAGCAGCTGTAACTCAGCATGCTGAGGAAACAAGAGAGGGTCAAATTTTCCAGACACCACGAGGCTCTGCTGAATCCCCCTGCAATGTGGACTTGTTGCTCCTGCTGCTGAGGGGTAGTGCTGCAGGCATCCGCTGTTGGAGCCCTGAGCTGCATCAGGTCCCTCGTGGAGCATGCAGCTCGAGCAGGGCTAGTGTTAGTCATGGGCCTGCGTGGCTCCTCTTGCCTTTTGAAGGACACAGACCCTGCCTGCTTCATGTGGAACCTGTGCAGAGATAAATCAAGCAGGTTCTTGGTCTGTGCTGCTGGCGCTGTGTGAAGAGCCAACTAGCATTGTGTGAAAGCCACTTCTAGGGACAAGCCTAAAAATTTACTTCCTTGGGCAAGATTGTAGCAGAGCCCCATTATGCAAATATTTCTCTCAGCACCTGAGATCTACCTGTCCTTTTTTAGCCTCCAGAAACAGTGAGGAGCTCAGCGGCGTAGCGTTCCTGGATTGCAACACGTTGCTCATCTGCTGTGTGAAGGGGCAGCTGTGCCTGGCTGACGTTCGACAGCCGCAGAGTCCCTTGGAGGCTGCGTCCGTCCCCTCGGCGCCGTGTGGCGAACGGTGGTGCATGGGAGTCGGGCGCGGACCTCAAGGCTCTGACTCAAGCTCCCACCCTGTAGCTCGCCTCTCGAGTGGAGGGCAACTCACCCTAACAGATGTAAGAAAAACCTCCGAGCCCTTGGCTTCAGCCAAGTGCAAAGTTTCCTCTCCCAGCTCAAGTGCAGAGTTCCTGTGTGTCTCTTGGGCTCCTGCTCTGGAAGGCTGCGTGGCCGTTTCAGGTATGTACTTTGGGCAGAGATCTTTCCTGGATGCTTGTCTGATCTGTGTGTCTTTGCACAAAGGCCCAGTTCACCCCACCTCACTCTAACAGAGCAACACACTAAACAGGTGTTTAGTGCCAGTGACCGCCTGGCAACTGGGATGTTGCACCAGTTGGACCAGCTGGGCAGCGAAGCTGCCTCTTGGCCAAAGTGTTGCAACTTCAGGCTAGTGAATTTGCAAGCTTTTGGGATTTGGCCTGTGTTCTTCCCTGCAGCTGTCAGAGACTAACTTCTGAGACAAGCTCCTCAGAGGCTTGGACGCTCTGCTCTCATAGACCTTGGATCTGGGCTTTTGTCCTCATTTGCCTCAGCAGCCCTGCAGGGAGGGGAGTGTGAGCCCAAGGGGGTAGCATGAGCAACTGGTTACTACTCTGGTCTCTCTGACTCCCTTTTATTCAAGGTTTTGATGGGACTGTTCACGTGTATGAGACACAGAGCTGGGATAGCTCTGGCAGGGAAGCAGAGCCGCTCTTTGTTCACAAAGGCCACGCGTTCAGCGGACTGGACGGCAGCGGAGGCTCTCCCCTGGTCACAGTGCACACATGGCACCCACAGAAACCAAGAACTTTATTGTCGGCCGCAAGCGATGGCTCCCTGCACGTTTGGGACTGGGTTCAGTCTCGTGGGAGCTGTGGGTAGATCATGCTTTTGGTGAGACTCGGTGCATTTCCTGTCTATGATCTAGTTTGCATAAGCCGTGAGATTCTTGTTTACTTGCAGATGTAGCTAGCAGTCCCAAGTGTGACAGATGCTATTTTAATATAGTAATAATTTTGATTGTGTTACTTGTTCTCATGCTTACCAGTCTTGTTCAAATTATAGCGGCGACTGCGTAATAGCCTGTAACGCTGATTGTGTCCACCAGCAGAGAACATTGTGCCATCATGTTATTATAGATCCTCATAGTGTGCACCATAATGTTCAGAAGAAGCAGCTGAAATAGTGTGAGTACAGTTTGAGGAAATGGGATATTCTGAGGCACGTTCAACCTGGTGTTTTCCAAGCCTGAAATGCCGTCAGGAAAGCTGTACACCCCGTTGGGTTTTGGCATCTCACAACATATGTACGTCATGAATAACGGCCTCGGCTCAGGAAGTCACAGTGTGAAGGCAGCCTGCCTGCCGCAGCGCGCGCAGCCTTCAGAAGGCATAGGAGCAGCCTTTCAGCCCTGACTTGCTACAAGCTTCAGCCTCCTGCTGTGTAACTGGAGAGTACCTGGACTAGGACAAGGCCTTGGTGCCTTGTGAAGTCTTTCCCACCAAATGAAAGCTTAAATTTGATTTTGTTTAAGTTTGACTTCCTGTGTCCTGGTAGTTTGGGGAAGCTAGGCAGTGATTCTGACAACCCCCCGGCTGTTTTCAAGGCTGTACTGGGAAACATGGTGTCTGCTCCTTGTCCCGAACATGAAGGACAGCATGCATGTTTCATTGAGATATGAGCAGCTGGGAGGGGAGGGTTTCAAGAGCTATGGCGGAGACTTGTCAGGGCCAGGGAAGGGGGTGGGCAGGGTGTTGCTCACTTGCAAGCTCGGACCCTGGCTTCTCCTGGCTTGTTGGGTTACTTGGGCCAGAGCAGCCAGCCAGAGGAGACTGGATCTCACAGCCCTTTCTATGCAAATACCTGTGTATGACCTGCCAGGCTGCTTCCCCTCTGCTCCGCATCTGTGCATCCAGCTCTTTTGCTGTCCCTTCTTGCTAGTAAGCGTCCTCACACAGTTACTTCTCCACGGGGTTGGGAAGCGCCATGTTGCTCCCTGCAGGGATGCCAAGTCTGGGATTAAGTTGAGGTGAGACGGGGGCTGAGGACAGGCCAGGGCGATGGGGACACTGTGAATCAAGGTAGAGGTTGTACTTCAGGAAGGTGAAGCTTAAAGTGGCTTAGGAAGCTTTAGGTTTGGGAAAGGGGTGTTCTACACTATGCTGTGTCGCATTAACTAAGTAGTTTGCCTGTAGGTGCTAACCCTGAAACCTGTTCCCTGTCTATGTGATAACAGGGGGAAACACAACACTGCTCACCTAGCAGATCTCCTCCCAGCATGAGCCATGTGGGTTCTTCCAGCCCATGCTGGCAGGAGATGATAACCAAAACTTCCCTGCCAGGGTGTGAGATGGGCAGAGGATATCCTGCCTGAGATTGTGGGGGTCCTATAGTTTGATGCTTTGCTACCTACCAAGGCTGTATTTGTGTCACCACCAGCAGTGGCTGGCGCACGTGAGCAATGCCAGCATGCTGGTGCTGGGTCACTCAGAACATGTGCAGGTCAGTGGCTCGCTGGAGGGAACAGATCCCTGCAGCACAGGTGAAGGGAATGGGCTCTGGTCTGGCTGCTTATAGCTGGGAAGTTTGGAAAGGCCCTGAACCCTCTCCCCAGGAACCGGCTGCATGAGTACAGGTAGCCTCAGCGTAGTTAGCTTGCCTGAAACCGTGATGGGAAAGGAAGAAAGGAGCCTGCTGAGGCAGGTCAGAGAGTGAATGGGCAGCTTCCCTTGCTGCTGCCTCCTGTTCTCAACCCAATGGTGATAGCCTACGACAGAGGAGGAATTGACAGGGATGTTAGTGCTGCTGTGATGCCTTCAGGCTCTCCTGGTTCCTCTCATGTGGGTGGATGAGACAAGCTGTACCAGCAAAAAAAAAAAAAAAAACTTGCATAGCTGAACACGTGTCAATTTTTCTGTCTAAACTGGTACATGCAAATTTGGTGTAACCAGTGTCAAATATATGTGAGGGGAGATCTGGCCAGGGACATGGGGAGGTTCCTGGAGGGCAAGGCCCAGTGAGGGGCAGCCAGGAGGGCTCCTGGCTCTTGAGTCTCTACCTCTGCTCATCTGTTCCTACCTGCCATGGGAGAAGAGGGTCTGCCCTGTCTTGAGATGTCCAGGTTCATCGGTTTAGGGGATGGCCTTTCTGGGCTGGGTTCTGGGTGCTGTAGGAAGTCCTAGGAAGGAGAATATGGGGCAGATGGGATGGGCTGTGTGCAGGGGTGGCAGGTTTCCCCAGTAAGATCCTAGGGCTGAAGGGATCTTTCTCAGGCATCCCTGGGAGTGGGAGATTTAGCAAACCCAGCTGCACAGCTTAGCAGCTGCAGCTCCTCTTGACTCCTTGAAAACACGCAGTCTTTAGATGGAAACAGCCACCAGGGTGAGGGTCTGACTCTGGAGGAAGTGGGCTCTCTGAGGAGGAGATGGCCCCTGCAGTCTTCCCAGCAACAGACTCCATCTTCTTTGCTCTCTCCTTTGCAGGGACATAGTGGGTAGGAGCAGCAATGCCGAGGCTGACAGGATTGCAGAGTAGTTGGGGTTAAAAGGGACCTCTGGAGATAGTCTGGTCCAGCCGCCTGCTAAAGCAGGGCCAGCTAGAGCAGGTTGCTCAGGACTAAGTCAAGTTGGGTTTTGAATATCTCCAGGGATGGAGACTCCACAAGCTCTCTGGGCAACCCAGGGTTCAACCACCCTTGCACCCTTGAAGAAGTGTTTTATACTCTTCAGACAGTTTCCTGTGTTTCAGTTTGTGCTCGTTGCCTCTCGTCCTGTCACTGAGCACCGCTGAGAAGAGTCTGGCTCTGTCCTCTTTACACCCTCTCCTCAGGTGTTTATACACGTGGGTAAGGTCTCCCTGAGCCTTTTCTTCTCCAGGCTAAATGCGCCCAGCTCTCTCAGCCTTTTCCTCATGTGAGAATTGCACCAGTCATCTTTGTGGCCCTTTGCTGGACAAAGTCTGCTATATCTGTGTCGCTCTCATACTGGGGAGCCCAGCACTCTAGGTGTGGTCTCACCAGTGCTGAGTAGGAGGGAAGGATCACCTCCCACGACTTGCTGTCAATGTTCCTCCTAATGCAGCCCAGGATACCATTGTCCTTCTTGGCCACAAGGGCACGTTGCTGGCCTATGTTGAACTCGTTCGCCAGGACTCCCGGGTCCTTCCTGCAGAGCTGCTCTCCAGCTGGTTGGCCCCCAGCCTGTACTGGTGCCTGGGGATATTCCCCCACCCATGCAAGGGCAGGACTTTGCACTTCCCTTTATTGAACTTCATGAGGTTCCCCTCTGCCTGTCTTTCCAGTCTGTGGAGGTCCCTCTGAATGGCAGCACAGCCCGCGGGGGCATCAGCCCCTGCTCCCGGTTTTGTGTCGAACTTGCTGAAGGTGCATTCAGTGCCCTCATCCCGATCAATAACAACAATTTTAAACGGTGCTGGTATCAACTGTTAGGCCACTAGTAAATGGTCTCTAGCTGGGGCTTTGTGGTGCTGATCACAACCCTCTGAGCCCAGCAGTTCATCCAGGTTTCAATCCACTTCACTGTCCACCTATCTAGCCTGCAGTTTATCAGCTTATTTATGAGGATATTATAGGAAACAGTGTCAAAAGCCTTACTGAAGTCAAGGTAGGCAACGTCCACTGCTCTCCTGTACCAAGCTAGTCGTTCCGTCCATAGACGGCTGTCAGGTTGGTTAAGCCCGATTTCCCCTCTGTAAATCAGTGCTGACTACTCCTGAGCAGTGACCCCATCCCCCATGACAGTGATGCAGAGGGAACAGGGAAGCAAACTCGCTTGATTTTTCTAGGGAAATGAGCCTTAAGCAATAGCACAGTTTGTACTTGTCTAAACTTCCCTTTTATTCCCTAAATAACTTAGGCCTTCCTGGCCAGCTTGAACCAGATTTAACAGAGTGCTAGAGATGTCCAAGATATTAAGTACTTACAGCTGCCTTAGAAAGGGGGAGGGAGGACGCACAGAGATCTCGGCAAGCGCTCGACCTTTAACGCTGACACGAGAACTCGCACTGGGGCGTCTCTGACGTAAAGGCACCAAGCAGAGCTTCGGGCGCCGCCTGAACATCAGCAGTGACTCCAGCTGCATGAGTGGGGGGGCCCTCAGCTTCGCTGGACCTGCTGCTGGGGCCAGGTCTGCCCTCGGTGGGGAGGGCTGGGCTGCGTGGGACCGCGTCCTGCAGCCAGCTGAACCCGTGCTTGGGCTGACCAGGACGAGAGCGAAGGACAAAGCTGGCCCAGCCGCCGTCAAGCAGGTGGTTTCAGGACCTCCCTCCTTGCTGCTCTCCTCGGCTGGTGGGAAGATTTGATTTTTTTTTTTTTTTTTTAAATCCATGTGTGAGTTTGGGTTGTTTCCTGCCCTGGGAGGCTGCGTGTGCTGCAGCGACAAGGGGAGCGGCCAGGAGTCACCCACCATCTGGCCCAAACAGGGCGAGCAAGCCAGAGCTCAGTCTCCGGTGGCAAGGGGGGACCAAACAATGAGAGTGTGGGCGCCAAGGTGAACTTCGGGGTGGCGGTGTCATACAACCACCAGCCCGGGAGAGCGGGAAGGGGCGCAGTGTCATACAACCACCAGCCCGGGAGAGCGGGAAGGGGCAGCCCTGTGCCAACGGGCAAACGAGGAGCATCCGCAGGGGTGCTGGAAGCACCAGGGCTGTGCGTGAACCTGATGCTGGAGACTTACTTGAGTGGTGTGGCATGAATAAATTAATTGGCCAGTGCGGAAACGTGCAGGAGCTGAGGATGGGATGCGTGAGGCCGTAACAAGGAAATCGGGCCTCGAGGGTTTGCGTTTGACCTGCTGGGTCGGAACAGAGCAGAGCAACAGGGTGGGTGGCCTCCAGCACCACGGCCAACCTCGCTGAAGACCCGGCACCTGCCCGCTCCCCTTCCCTGAGCCAAGAGAAGGGGCTGCGCGCTGGGACGATGGTTTCTTTTCCGAGTTTAATAAACTAGAATAATTTATTTGACAGACCACAGAAACGTCACAGATACGGTGGCGAACCCAGAGAAGCAGGTATCAATGAACAGTACAAAGTAACCACTTTACCAAAAAAAAA